TTACAGTATTCATGCTGCTGCACCCCATCGATTGGGATACATACTTGTGCATGTTTAGAATTATGCTTACGATACTGTACTTGGCTCGGAACAAGGTAACCATGGAAAACCGTTCAAGAAATCTGAATACCGACCAACGCAGACTGAAAACCGTTCAAGCACTTTGGCAACTGTTAACCAGCTGTCCAACAGATGGGAGGATGAGATGGGGCTGTGCAGTTCCTTATGAGTACAAATACTTCATATATCCTGACAAAGGTAATCCTTGTACATGAAAAATCAACTTGTGGAGTATAGTGATGCCCTGTGGTAATAAATACTACGTAGTATGTCAGAATATATTGCTCTGTGTGACACAATACAACTGGAATCTACAGCTCAATGGTTAGTGCGTCAGTGTTTCAACCCAAGGGTCCCGGGTTCGATCACCTGGATTTTTGTTTCCTACTATTTTTTAATTAATGTTAGAATCGGTTCTTTGGAACATGTCTGGGTTTCCTGTTCACAAGTTTAGACTAACGTTATGGCTACTAGAACATGCTTGTCAAGGGACACTGACAGTTGCGTGCGGTGTGGACCTCGGTTGGTAGTAAATTTATTGCTGCATGCGTGGACGTAGTGTGAGGAGTAGTGGCCTTCTCAGAGTGATACTTGGTGGAGTACTATGTGATAGGTGAATTCCCCGAGGTGGTGTTGGTGGTTACGTGATAGTTGTGTGGGAAGAGTCCCACCTAGTGGTGTTGCGTAGACATTGTGTTGTGTTGAATATGACGAGCATCGCAGACGTGTGGACGAAAGCCCATTGTGCAGAGGTATATGGGGTGTTGCGGGAAGAATTGCGGATTGTATGGTGGAGTTGTTTGGTGGTGTGGGCAACACCAACCAACACCACCATGAGGTAATATCTCCGTCACAACGAAATTAGATTCACACACAACCGATATGTCTACAGTAACCCCTCACGTCATTATGACTACCTCGTAGTGTTAATGGTTATAATTGCAGCGATGTGCAACCCCTGCATAGTTTACACCCTGCACGGCCCTTCGGTACCCTCCACAATAATTCTACTCTACAGCATCCCCCCACGCTACATACTGTAATTGTTAAAGTGAATTCTCTAGAAGTATGCGATTCAGTGTGTAGATTGCATATTTGAGTGCGCTAGCGGTAGAATACAGAATGCGCATTGCCCATAGGGCTGGGGGGGCAATTATTGTAGAGGGTTCTACAGAGGGGTTGTATAACTTTTGGTTTCGTACATCAAAGGGGGTGCACATCGCTACAATGGCAGTGATCACAACTGAATGACAGCATCGGTGGTGGTGAGCATCTCCGTTCTACATGTGCATACATAGTGCTCATTGATACTTGAAGTATTACGCTGTAAAGTTAACATCGCTCAGCGCTTAATGGCCTCACGTTTGTACTAGATGACCTACATATCCATTGTTTTCATCGACGATACCGGTATGGTATCATGTATAGTCTACATAGAATTGAAGAATTTACCAGATTCTGACCAAAAAGTATGTTCAAAAGAGGTACAGTACGTAGTAGTTCATAGTGAAGGGGGGACAGGTAATATAGGGTGGTTAACGTGGCGAATATTGGACACTAGCGTTAGCGTTTAGTTGGGGGCCGCTATAATGTATCTACACTACTTGGCGAATATTGGACACTAGCGTTAACGTTTAGTTGGGGGCCGCTATAATGTATCTA